TGTATCTCAATTAGCAAAGTACAATTTGATAATTGAAAGCAAATGCTTCTTTATCATATGATTTCTACTTTTCTTTACCCAATGCTGTCCCCTGCAGGGTGTAAGAAATCAGATCACAGAACTACTCAGAGGCTAAAAAATAAATAGATTTTAAAAAATCCAAGAGTAGAAGGAAAAGAAATAGCTGAATTAACTTCATGTCCTCTATCAGAATTCATTATCATGCCAGCATGGTTTATAATGGATACTTTCAGAAGCTTGGCTGGGAGCTACAAGGGGCATTCCTTGAAAAATGTCTCTCATATCTTATTGCAGATATGCAACACTTCTTTCCATAGATGTTATGAATTCCTAGTGCTCATGTTGATAATCTGTCTGTGCGCAGTAAGATGTTAGCCATTTCTTTATCTGTCTCATCAGTGTACTTGAACCTGGAAATCAAACAGAACATACAAATTATAAAATTATTGTATGTCTCAATGGACTTTCTTACAGTGTTATAAAATGGGCTATAAAAAGTATGCAAAGACTAGACTCTGCATGTGTGAAACTACTACTCTGTTTAAAAGACAGGCAACCTTCTCATAAGTGAGATACAGCTCCGCTCAAAAATGACGTAGAAAGAAACAAACACTAGAAGTGTGAGAGTGGCAGAACTGGTTAGATTTCATTAATAAGATCATCTTTGCACTAAACAAAACCAAAACATAGTATAGAGCTTAAAAAGCTCTGGGAGCATTTATCATATACATGTCATAGACATATTATTACTCTCTCCTTTCTCAAGCAAAAAAAACTACTTTATCTGACTAAGTGCAAATACCAAAATGTTCATTAACTCTCTTGAAACAGCTTGGCTTGTCTTTATTGAGTTGCATTTCATCCATAGCCTTTGCACCTAGGGGCACATAATAATTTTTTCTGCACAAAGGGTTTCTCAAGAGGGGTATGGCTGTTCTTTTTCTCCCCAGAGTCTGAAGACATTGCATCATCTCCTATCATCCTTACAAGCCTGGGGCCCAGGATGAGGAATTGTTTAGTGTCTCCAAACCTAAGCTTCCCACGTAGCAGATCAAATTGTTGTTGCTCTGCCACTGCGCTGACTCAGTGCTTGCTTTCTTGATTTAAAGCACAGTTCCACTGTGAAAAGTTATTGTGAAAATGGTATTTTCTTCCTCAGCAGAGCTAGTTCCTACGTGTATGAAGAATTATACGTGCTGACTCAAGTGACAAACATAAGTATTTACTGCGTCTGCTCTTGCCAACTCTGCACAGCAAAGGCAGCAGAGAGAAAGAGGGTTGGAGTCCATTTAATCTGAACACGTTAATACTCTTTTCCAGGCTTCTAAGTGTTTACGCCTTTGCAAATCTAGTGAGAACAATAGCGTCCCAGAGCTGTATAGCGTTACAGAGTATAATTTGGACTTTACTGCTAGTGACTAGCCATGGAAAGGAAGCATCCTTTCATGGTCTCTCACATCCCTCAGTATGTGTGGAAACCTCACAGCTTTGCACTTTTCCATACTTACTTTTTACCTGTGGCTACTTACAGACTTTATGACTGTGGCAGAAGATTGTTTTGCGACATTCTGGCTTTGTAAGCTTGTCTCTCGTAGTAACATCATCTGTGAGTGTTCAAAGGCGGTGAGAAAATATTAGCTCTTTTATCAGCAGATATTGCTTCTTTTAAAATTTGCCAATTTCTTTATATTGTCCAGATAGCTATAGCACTTTGGGAGCTATCTGCTGCCTCAGTGTTTTGGATTGTTGGTGCATGGCACTGCCCTTCGGTGACTCCATTATTTCCCATTGAGCCTTTCTTACTGTTAGTGAAGGCTTTCTCCTTTGGCTGTCTTACACAGTCTGTATGTGAAATGACAAAGGGAGTTCACAAGGAATTATGGGCTGAGTGTTGGTTTTAGCATGTTTGCAGTGTCCAGCTTTATTACTTTAGCTTGGCTAATCCAGAGAGAGCAGTTGTCTCTCTTTCTCAGTTTCAAGGTGACACTGAATCTTGCATGAGAATGACTTGGGCTTATGCTCCATCTGAAAAATGCAGTGGTTAGAACAAGCAAAGAAGCAAGCAGATTTGCTCGAATATTTCAGCTACTTGAAAGAAAATTTTTAGCCATCCTTTGAAATTCCTAATTGCTGCTAGAGGATCGGATAGCCAACAGTGTGTGTTGGTTGCTTTCATTGTCTTTTTTGCACTGCAATAGGAATTGTGTCCTTTGCGGAGCTGTTTGAGAGGGACTGTACTTGAAATCCAGTAGAACTGAAGTTGCTAAGGAATGTGGCAGCTTGCTTAATTAGTCCAGTGCCTTAAAAATGTGTTTTTGGAGCAGAAAAAGCAACCAATTCACTTTTAAATAAAATACATGGTTACCAAATTCCCAAAGACTGCCCTACCCAAAAGACAGCAGCCGTCAACAAACCGTGCTGTGGTATTTGAAATAAGCAGCAGTCCCTCTGCTGAAACGTCCTCAGCACTGGGAAGAGGAGGAGTTGACAGCTCTGGAGTTTACTGCCCACATTGGTCCAGAAAGTCAGCTCATGTTGGCCTCAGGGCGTGCTGTAAACCCTTTCTAAACCATAAGTGTCTTGGGAACTATGACTAGGTTTTCTTTTATTAGAGCACCTATACCTTTGGTATAGGCAGCTCAGTTCTAGAATGAATATGTATGAATAAAAGTGAAACCTCATAACTGCGCTTTACACAGTCCATTTTGCACACCTCTGAGGAACATTTCCCTTTCTCCAGCCGATTTTTAGAAACGGTATGATCTTCTCATACTGGAAGAGATGAGAGCTCTGTCCAGTCACTACAGAATGAAAAGCAGGTCTAAAAGGATATATAGAAGGCAACTAGGAGCTTACTTCCTAGTAAAAGTTGCATACCTTCTAGGTCCCAGCACTTAGATGATGACTAAACCTATGCAATGTGAGATTTGCCAAAAATCCTTGTGAAAAAAATGGTCTTTGATTTTTATCTTAAAATAGAAACTGAAAGCATGTAAGTTTCCGTCTAATATGAGGTGAAATGACAAAACATCAGACAGTTCTTTTAATTTACCATTAAGTAACAGCATAACATGACAGCAGTTGTGTGCAAGGACACTGGAGAGAATCTATAATCCCACTGTCGGAACCCTGTTGTCAGGAGCAGGCCTGGCTCAAGGGGACTTGACAGGAACTTGAAATAAAAGTAAATTTGAAAACTGCACACATACAATACAGATACATAGGCTTGACAGTCTTTAGAAGCTGTCTGATAACTTTCTACAGAGCAACTTGACACCCTACTGTTATTTTTTAATATTTATATTTACTTTGCACATAGCAAACCAATCATGTTACTCTGTTGTACTAGTTATTTTATAAAAATAGACAGAGACATGTAGCAGCTTGGAATTGCTTACAGTCTCGTGCAAACACTTAGCACACTCTTCCATTGAGGTCTGAAGTTATTGTGACTGCTGAAATGCTTAGACTTTAAAAGAATCTGGATCTAAAAATTATAGCAGAATACTCTTGCAAAGATCCAGTGCAAAATATTTCCTTCTTGAACAATATCATCACAAGTTTATACTGTCACCAATATTAAAAGTTTTCTGTTCAACAGCATGTTCCACATGAAGAGAGATTTGACTAGGAGCATATATATCCTTTCTAATTATTGCAAACATACTCGGTTAAACCAATATAAAATTATCTTCCATGTTGCTGTTGGGGATCATTCTGCTGCATTCATTTGGATGTCAAAGTGACAGGCCATTAGCCTAAGGGTAAACTAATTATTTAAGGAACTTTTCTTGTTTTGTACAATGAAGAAGCATTCTTGAAAATACAACACAAACATAGATATCTGGGTCAGATGTTGACGGTTCATTTTTTGAATACAAAAATGTAATTTTAGCATTTAAATAGTCAAGACAGTGGTAATTTAAAATAAAACAAGAACAACAGTCATTAAATGGCTGTGTTTCTGGACTTAGATTGATGCTTAACACATTGATCTTCAATAGAAGCTTTCCATATTCCATCTGTTAGAATCTTTGACCTTTTCTTAACACCATTAAAAGATAAAATGTTAATCTACTGAAAAAAGATGCATGACCTTTTAAAAGTGAACTGTACCACTTTACAGTCTGCCATCATTTAAGAACTTTATGCTCAGAAGCCATGCATTATGTGTATCATAGCAATATAATTGTTTAGAATAATGTAGTTGTTCAACCAAGAAGATATATACCATGCATAACATAAATTGGAACTAGAACTATGTGAACTTTGAAAAACCCAATCAAAATAGCATGTCAGATCAAGACTTACTTTCAGTTTTAATCAGCCTCAACCCCAAATTTATTTTTTATTAGTATGCATGCCTAGAAGACATTGCTTTAAAAAAGAAAAGGGATAATACTTTGTAACAAATGAAACATATCATTAGCAAGGGAAGATGCTTAACTTCCTTTGTTTTAATCACCTGTTTTTACTTTTTCAGTGTAAGGAAATAAATGTGGAATGAATATTTTAAATTGTAGTAAGGCATTTTAGGAGCAACAGAATTCTTAAAAATGGCACTTACTTGTTTGTGCGAAATCTGAATAGCCTTAAACTAGAATTCCTAATAGCAATGGCCACAATTCAGAAAAGCATAGAAACACAGTTTAAATCCGATTCAGCAAAGCACTTCAAAGAACATGTTGAGTTCTGAGTACGGGATAAATTGATTCCACTTCAAATTAAGCCTCTTTTTTCTGAATCCTGACCAGAGAGAACAAATTGAATACATGTGGCAGATTCAGAGCACTTAACCTTATCTTCTGGTGAGTTCCATAGTTTAAATGGAGTCCCTCAAATGAATTTTGAGAGTACAGTCATCTAATTAATGATGTGTCTGTGTAATAACTACATAACAAATGACAATGGAAAGTCCAAATGTCGTCTTCATTTGAATATGATGTTCTACTAATATTTTTTACTATACAGGACAAAAAGCTTTCCTAGAGAGATGACGGCTCATATTCTTCTAATTTCAACGTAAATTTCACTGAAGTCCCTAACTTAGTGCATTTACCTAAGTAGCATTAATGAATTTAGGCTGGATGATTGCTTGGAGTATCAGCTGTGCTTGAACTTCTGTATGTCATTCAGAGGAATTTACTCCTAAGGTAAGTGGTTACATGCAAAACCAAAATACAATGCTTCTGAGATGACATAAACTTAGCTTCTGTTATTAATACTGTTTGTTCATAAAAACATAAGTAGCATTAGCAGTGTCACTGCTGTATTGGCTCTCAGAGAGGCCTGATGGAAAGGGTGCATCTACATTAGCAATTTAGGGCATAAGAGATGTTTTCTAGCATGAATTTGCCACACATCTATACTTGATGGCTTGCGGTGGGCACTCAGCTGTTTCTTGCCTCATGAAACTGAGGCTGAAGTCACATGCTGGGTTACCCTCTTGAGAGACCTGCTTGCGATGTGGATGCACAGTCCTCTAGAAGTTAACTCTCTATATATGCTTGCTGCATGCCTAGGACTGGAAAATCACTTGAACTTCATTGTTAGGAAAGACATCCTTAGGAAAGACTGGACAATACTGTCCAGTAGGATAAGCACTTTGCCTGCCATGTTAGCCAACTAGCCATTTTTGAGTTGCTGTTAGTATTTCGAAGAGTTAGATTTTAAGTAGGAGGACAAAGGATGAAGAGATACCCTACGTTAGTCTCTGTTGCCAGATCTTATGATCTTAGCAAGCGTTTTGAGATGTATGGTCATACTCTTTTACTCTTTAACCCTTAGCTGTAGGAATCATAATATTATTATGAAACTATCAGAATTCATTAAAAAAGGTAAATAAGTGTGTAGCCATCATAGATAGAAGTTTGAAACTGTGATTCAAAAAAAGAAAAAATTTTGAACAAAATCCAAGAAAAGGTACTTTAAAAACTGACATGGTTTTCCTTCCCTTCTTGCTCTTTAGAGGAAGTTCCTCCTGATGACACAGAAAACGTAGGAGAAAGCACAGGATTTGTTGAGTTTTGACTAGTAGAAAGACATTCTCTTCTGTAAATATGTCAGCTTACTTTTTAACTCCATTTAAAATTTTGTATTCTCCTTGCTGTACATGTTGCTGTACTAGCCCTGGCTGTTCATATTTGTTCCTGTTAAATAAGCATCACCCCATTTTGTAGAAGCAAGCATTTCATCTTTGAATTTAGTAGGCACTTTTTTGTCATGCTCTTTCATTGTTTAGACCTGCTTCCCAGTCCCAGCCCCAGTTTATCACTGCAAATTTCCTCTCTTGCATATTCTTCCCTCTAGGTCATTGATAGTGAAAGCAAGCAATATGTTTCCTGGTGTTCAACCATGTGGCACTTCACTAGTCACATAATACACTAGATAAGCAGATGACAGTCTGTGCTGCTCTGAATAACATATGTGCGTGCCATCTGAAAGCCAGGAGCGGGATCACATAGATACAGCCAACAGAGGGAGTCGATGGCGGTAAGGCACTGGCCATTCAACCAGTGCTTTGGAGAAAAGAAAAATGGACAGCTTTGCATTTATGGGTAAAGAGGAGACGATGTCAACCTATTTTCCCATTAGTCTGTAGGCATCTTTGACAGGCCACATGGTCTTTTGCTTTCAAGCTGCAGGTCACCTATGTTACAGAAGTTCAGTTCCACCTCTGCAGGAGGAGGTGCTACTCCAGCAAAGTTTGGCTTTTTTTACATTTTTTATGTGGAGGAGGAAGATATTGCCCATAGCAGGTGCCTTTGCATCTACTAAGTGTAACTACTAAGTGGTATACAAAAGCTTTAATTTCTGTCTAATTACTATTACCAAATAAAACGTGCATTTTAAAGAACACCTGCTTGCTCTTTCTTTTACAGTATAGTCGTAGTTTTTAAAATCTCTTGTGCATACTCATAACTTGTTACCAAAGATGGCTTGGATGATACAGACCTCATCAACCGAAGTGGTGTTCCCTTCAAACTAAGGGAGTCTTAGATCTCAGCACTGGTGCACATAATAAAGAGAAAGACCATCTTTTCTCTTTGACAGAAGCAAGCTGTCGCAGTAATACTGAAATGAGATGCAGAAGCGAAAATATTTCAAGATGTTCTCAGACACATTCAGGCAACATGTAAATAGAATAATAAATCTGGTAAGAAAGATCTGTTTATTTTTTGCACAAAAGGACTAAGATTTTTTTTATTTTGTTTTAAAACATAGATTTCTTTTCCCTCCACCTGACATTGTGCAGTATACCACAGAGCAGCTGTCCACAGCCAGAAACTCATCACTCTCTCTCTGATCAGCACATACAGTAAGTGACATGGAACTCTGCTTAATTCCCTTGTGTCTTCATGAAATAATTTCTTCCCCGACCAAAGAAATGTGCTGTTTACCATAATCTCGATTTAACACCTACTCCCAGTGTTCAAAAGTAACTGTCTGCATTTGAATAGGTTCTGAAAAGCAGAAGTAACTGCCAGGGAAAACCAAACAAGTCTTGCTTCTCTTCCTTGCAAGTTGGAAAAGGCTTTAGTTTTCTATCACAGTGACAGGTTACATGGTAAATAAAGTTCAAGATCTTTGCTTTGGCCATTTCAGACAAGAATTGGTTAGAAGTGAACAAAGCTGAAGGGGCAAAGCTTGAATTAAACCCAAATTAAGACAGTTGTTCAAAAGGAAGTGGCACACGCACGTGGAGTAAAGCTGGGTTTTTTTAGGTACGGTATGACAGATAGGGGATGTTTCTTCTGACTTACTAAGGAAATCCCTTGAACTAATGAGTTTTCAGTTAATGAGCAGTATGGAAAACAGGCTTTGGAAAACATTCCACTTCTTAGAGGCTAATTTATTTGTTTTGTGTTATGTGGGAAACATAACAGATCTGGGAGGATCTCAGCCCCAGCAAAGCTGGTGGTGGTCCCATCTTGCCTTGGCTTGCCATGCATAACAGAGGATAATTTTTAAAACACTCCCTCATTCAGATTGGAATGGGATATTGTGTCTTTTTATCAGCAATCAGAGCAAAGTCCCTGTTAGTATTGCTGGATTAGCCAGGTTTCTACAGATTTGGTTTGTTCTGAAGTTAACAAAATTGCATCCAGTTCAGAAGTAAGTGGTATGAAATGTCCTGCAAGAGTTCAAAGCCTGCAGCAGCAGCAGCCTCCCTGCACCGTCGTGTGTAAAACAGCTAGCAATAGTCCTGTAAAATGCACTCGGGAGCTAGCTGCTCTTGAGAGAAATACCTCCCACAATTCTGCCCTCTAATTCGTAAGGTTATCTTATGGGGAAATTTATATTTGAAAATTTAGAAATATGATGCAAAATATTTTCCTCCTTTTTGGAGGAAACAGAAAGGATACTCCTCCTTGTTGGGATTATTGTTTATATCACTGTGTTGATCTCCTGTGGGTAAATAACTGTTGATGTAAAATCCTTGCATAATTTTTCTGAAACATGGTGATGAGTTTTGGTGTCATATAAATATCATTGTACTGCTAAATGCAAGATATTCAGCGGAAACTAAAATAGTTGGAAATTATTATTCCACCAAGCGGTCAGCAGTTGCCTCAATAAGATATTGTAGACTTTTGGATGTTTGATGTGTGTGAGTGTCTTTTGCTGCAAGAACGAGAAAAATACTTCTCTGCTCTCCGCTTCCTCTCTTCTTTCGTAGTAGATTGTTTATTCCAGATTGCTGCGTTAGCCATACAGGGCTTTATAAGGGATACTGCATAAGGTGGTTTTGTTTCTGATCTGCTGGAAGCTGGACTGCATTTTGAATTATCTGCATCTGTTTCATTAGCTGCCTCTCTGGTCAGGAGAAAAGATAAAGCGTTTCATTATGTAACTTTCATACCAGTACCCGGGTATGTACCATAGTTACGAATTTTCAGATAAGCTCTATGTACCTAATCACAATGAGCTTGCCCTGGCACAGCTTTTGCTACTAGAAATAATGCATTTTAAAGCATATTGACATATGCCTTAAATGAAAAACACACTTGGAACTGAAGTGTTCAGTTGCCCTAGAAGAGGAATAGCATAAGTCTTAATTTTCCTTTGAGGAAAAGCTGTAATAGAATTGCTGCTACATCATAGTCTTCCCGTTATTGTTTAAACTCCATAAGATACTGAAGGCTTTTAGTGTTTCTACCAAGAAATGAAAAATATGAATTCATTCCTGAGCTCAGATTTGGCAGCCAACAAAGCTATTCTCACTCCTATTACGTTTCTTGCCCACCAGCATTACCTTATTGCTGTTATTTTGCTGAAGAGTTTTAGTGTCTTGAGCCCCTTGTACCTCATGACAGTTGAGAAACAAAATCTGAGGCCACAAGGGATGTGGAAAAAGGTGGTCTAAATAATCATAGTAGACAGCAAAAACAGAAGAAACGGAACAGGACGTACCAGCAGAAGCTAACAAAGTGGTGCTCTGCCAGTGTTGTTAGTGCTGTTCCTTTATGTGTTTGTGTGGTTGAGTGAGTGTGCACAGCAATGTGGTTACTTTGTTGGTTTTGCAGTTCTTGCAGAGATGGTGAAGAATTGTCTTTGGTTGACAGTACCATTCCTCAGGTTGCATATACCTCCCCTTTCGCTATAAGGTGGACTCAATTTATCAGGTTTCCATTATCTGCCCATGGTGATTCAAGGACTGTTTCGTTTTCTTAGCAAGCCAACACACAGTATTATACGCACTTGGAATTATATCTCATTTCCCCTCTTTCATGGCTACCAGACACTGTATTGCAAAGTGCGACCCTCAGCAGCTGAATTTTGTGTTTCACAGTGCCCGATACAAATAAATTGCAATAACCCAGGGCCTGACTAGAATCGCACTCGCTCAGGACTACGTTACCATCTCATGCAACATGGAAGCGTATACCAAGCTGGGCAGAGCTATGGAGGGGAAAGGCTTACAGCCATTTTAGCTGCTTCTATCTCCTCTCTGGCTGAATTGGAGAAGAAAGTGAATTTTGTGCTAAAGTGATACGTGTCACTTGCAATTTGATCCAAGATGAGCATATAATATAGGTAAATAAATAGGAGGTTGCTTACTGTTGCTTACTCCTTTAAGTCTGTGGATTTTAGGGTACTATCAACTTTGGCAGGTCTGTATTTTTATCTGCATTTAAAACAGGTATCATCTGGTGCACAAATTTTGGATTTTTATTCTGGGTTTCAGACAGTATAAATACACAACAGCTTCTTCAGACTGTAGTTACTCAGCTGGAAAACAAAAGACAATTATTGCATGTGGAAATAGATAGAAGTGAATCTTTGTATGCATAAATACCCTCTTTCTACACATCAGCCTTCCTAAACAGTTTGCAAATCTGCCCTTAAATTGCCTACAAAATGTTCCGCTCAGTGGCCAAAACTAGGGGCACACAAGCATCAGTGTTTCAGTTCATCTGTTTTTCCTGTTTTCAAGAATTCAATGAAAGATACTGGTCTTTGAATTGTATTTGTTTAATCTATTATGAGACAAGGCCGCAAAAAAATTGTGAAGATGTTTGGATTCTCTATTTGCTTTCTAAATTTTGGAGACGAGGTTATGCAAATATGAGCTTCTGAGAAGAGCCAGGCTGACAGCAGCGAGATTGATCTTCTTTGCGGAGCATGTACAGCATGTTTCCTTGTTGCCTTGTCAGTGCACTTCAATCTCAACATTGTCTCAAAAGTGAGCGTCCCAGTTTGTTTTCCATATCCTCCTGTCCTTAGCGTCTGTGCTGGGGTGGACGGCCGGGATTCAAGGGTGGCAACCTTTCTATCTTGGGAAGCAAAATGAGCAAAGCAGCTCTCTTCACAGAGGCAAGTAAAATTCCATCACAGGGCACTTGCGAGGTCCTAAATTGCTTCCTACCCATAAGGCTTCCTCATTCTCAGCTTTATTGAAAAATGCAGTAAAGAGCTCTTAGTCGGGGGGAGAGTCACATTTCTGTGCATATTTCAGGGCCTTAAATTAAAGGCTATTTTTTAAAGAAGAAAATTAAATGCTATTTCAAGTTTCTTGTAGCTGCTGACCCTTTAGGGTTGTACTGAGCTCCTGCCACCTACCAGTATTCTCGCCAGGCAGTCTGTGCAAATATTATTATTACTTAAATAGAGTCTGAATCATTACCTTGTGTTTTCACTTTGTAGTGAAGTGATTTAAATATAGTTTTCTTATGTTGGGATCCTTTGACAAACGCATAAATAGTTAGCGCATTGTTAGCAACAGTGAAAAGGAAATGGATGCCTGGCAGGAGGAAGGGCAAATAATTTTCTCATGCTTGCTGTGCTGTTTCTGTAGTGTAAATCAACTCTTCTCCTCTGAAAGTAAAAACTTATTCCAAGATGTCAACAAAAGTAAAGTAATTGGGAAAGGAAATGTAATTCCTCCCTGCTGCTCCTTCCTTGTGCATATTAGTAAATGAAAGCTATTTAAAGATACAAACTGAGGTAGATTAATTGGAGCATATGAGTGATTTGGGACCTGATCCTGGAAATGTTTACTCAAATGAGTAGCTGTTTGACTGTTTGCCTGGGTGTTTTTTTTGTGTGCGTGTGCAAATGCTTTCAAGATTAGGGAGAAGAGGGTTCAGTCTTGCAGGGTGCAGAGTAGACCACTCCAACACTGAAAAGCATGCACTTGAGCTCCAGAGCCATCCCGTTGATCTCCATGGGAGGATGCACGCACTTAGAATCAACTGCCATGTTGGATGAGAGCCAGTTTGATCAGCATCTCCCAGGACTGAATCGTGAATACCGAACTTTAAATAGAATAGGAATATTACCAGGCTACTTTGATTAATTAATCTCATTTGGAAAAAAGACACAATCAGAAAACCAAAGCACACCACAAAACTTTCATTTGTGCCTCTGGTTCATGGCTGTCATAAAATTAGATACCGTAATATGCTTTTTCCTTTGCTGCAAAGGAAGCTGTAAAGCTCAAAGGCGTATTTTTTTCTTAGTGTTAGCAATTAATATGCCACAAGTCTTTGCATAAATAAGTTGTCTATTTTAAAGCAACTCAAATGGGCTATTTCATTTTATATGACTGTTAATTAAGATGTTGATTAGCCCTGCTATTGAAGCATTGAAACCCTTTCTAAAAGAAATGGCCACTGTTTCAATTTTATTTTAATTAGTTGGACTTTGAGGTTATTTACTACAGTGCCAGTTATCAAAGTAAAGCTGTTTAATTTGATGTTCAGTCTAAGGCAGGTAGGTAGCACACAGATTTCCATGTTTGCCTGTAACCACTGCCATTAACAGCAGTATGATTTAAGGTCATTAAGGAGTCATCAACCTCACAGATGGTAAAATGCAAAGTATCTAAAAGGGAAAATAACAATTGTTGTCTTGTCAAATAAAATCCGAACATTGTATTTTTTGTGAACACCCACTTGCTTCCAGCAATTTTATACAGAGTGCGTTTCCCTTTGGGCGGAGAGTGTTAGGTCTTCCCTTTTATGCATCCTTCCATTGAGACATGCTAACCCCCTCGGGAGGTGAAACCCACCCAGATATTTGTGATTTTAAAACTTCATTTGCGTCACTTGCAACAGAGATGGATCATTATTCTGGGATAAAATCACATCCTGCACAGTGAAAATAACAGGCAACATTTGAGCTTTAAAGTGTTAAAAGAAATAGACAGTGTTAAAGCTGCTTCAGGAAACAAATTCTCCCTGTAATGCAGTGTAATTACAATCTTTTCTAAGCTAAGTATAGTACCCTAGAGATTACCATAAGTAACTTATAATAGAATTTTTATTAGTGGTAGTAATTTTTTATGATAATTAGTGTAATCTGCAGCCAATAAAATCGGAAGATATATAGTTATCTCTTTTGCACCAGAAAAGTATTCTTCAGGCAGCTGAAACATTAAGAAAGAAAAATGTATTATTTTATGACCATTGTACACTTTTATGATTTGATTGTTTGGTATTCTTTTTTTTTATTAGCTCTTTCTACTTAATGGTGAGAAATGTGAGGCGTATTCAATAGGCAGCATAAAGGGCCAGTCTGGGGCAAGCATTTGACATTTATTTTCTTTGGTAACTTTCATTCTGTCCTATCAGAAGCCTCATCCTTTGTGAAAATTAGCAAGTTTTAGTACTTCTCCTAGATGATGGGTTACTCTTGCCTCGTACTCAGCGCTGTACTCAGTGAGATTGCCTTTCCTTACGGAATAACAATAGAGCCACAGCTGTTGAAGAAAGATGTTTGAACAGTAGTGCTGTGCCAGGCTGTGGCATCGAGCCTGTGTATCCCTGAGACTCTGCTGCATTGCCCCACAAGAAGCTCCTGCAGCACAACCCTTCTCAAAAGCTCCTAAGCCTGCAACAGGCATGCACGTGCAAAACTATTCCTTCCTATGGGTTACTCATCCCATGCGGTAGGGCTGTATGCTAAGCGTCTAGGCTTTGACCCCTTCTGATTTGGAGGGGCATTTCTGTAAAGGGAATAGCACTGCATTGCTATCCAGCCTGTTAACTGGCTGGGAATATGAAGCAAGAGAACCATTCTTAATAAACCTATGGAAAGTCTAATTACAGTTCTGCTGTTGGTATTCAGGATTGTATGTTAAGTCTTTAATTTGCCTGTGTGCTTCTCTTACTGGCACTAGCTAGTAAAAGCTTTGCCTGAGTAAGGAAAGAGAAGGAAGGTAAGACACGGGTCTTAGGTTTATTAAAGCCATTTTCCAAAACAGCAGTTGAATTTAAAGCTGGACCAATTAGCATAGTCATTTCCCTTAGAGTAAAGACAGGGTGTATAACTCTTCTCAACTCATTTGGAAAGGTTGAGTTTTACTTCTTGAAGGGGGAAAAGGGGAGAGAATATTGTAGGAGAATAGTGTTTCCGTAGAGATCTCAGATGGAAGGAGACTATTGTTTTGTATGCTATCTATGGCCTGATACACTGCTATTTTCTTTTCTCACTCACTGACACAGTAACCCTTAGATGACCCTCTTAATCTGAATTGTCATCATTCATTGGCAGCAGTTATAGGCTAGGATAAAATAAAAATTTTAAAGTATCATGCCATGACTTAAGAGGAACCAAAGAAGGTTTCCATCATCTTCACTCTAGCCTTATGACCTCATGTTCAACAGTTATCTGAGGAGTAAACAGGCTCGTATGACCCATTTGGCATTCTCTACATGGTGAGCAATGTTAAATCTGCTTTGGAGACAGAATCACTCAGATTTGGTATACGGCACAGAAAATGTGATAATCCTCCAGGTTGCATGGATGAAATGAGCCACTCACAGGAGCTTGAGCAGAAGTTCAAGCTGTGATCGGGCATGCCTGGAATTCCTTGGGCTTGGAGTCCACTCAAGACTGTCTGAATATACGTGAAGAGTGTCTGTTGGCTTCCACTTCAGGTATGGCATAAATTCTCCTGTAATACTTTTCTTTGAAAAGTATTCCTGCAGAAGGAGATCAGAGGTCTGTTACATTCTCCTAGGCTTTTTAGGCTTTATTTGTCCTTAATTGGGATAGGAGAGGGGAAAAAATTTGGGAAAAAAATGGTGACACCTCTCCTTAGAGGTGCCAAAATGAGGTCAGTACTCTCAGCAAATGTACAGGTCTTCATAATCCAATCTTCCTGTCTTATGTGCCCTGACAAGCAAAGCACGAACAATGTTGACAGTTGACACTAGCATGTGAGCTAGCATCTGTTGAGATGAATGAGGTAGATCAAGCTTCTTAGACGTCTGTCCCACAAATAGGGGCAGATATCACTGCAATGATGTGATTCATATTTTCATGTACAGTTACCTGTGATTCCTATTTTCAAGGTTGTCCCAGCGACCGTAACTAATGCAGACACAGGGTGTATTCAGATGACTTATGTTTAAGCATCAATTTCATAGGCCTATTTAGACAGTCTGTGAACAGAGGGGTGCTCATCTAAAGACTTATGGAAGGCATTGGTTATGTTCCTAATAAATATATGTTTTTGGCAAAGGTAGCAATATGCAGACCTTGAATCTTCAGGTAGATTCAACCTCTGTTCACTATAGTAGAAAGCTGTGGTAAGAAAACAGCCTCTCGACAGTGGAACTTCCGCCAGTGGACAAAATATCAAGTATTCGTGCTGATTCTGCTGGATTCCTATCTAGTGCTAGCACTTAGAGACTGTTGACCGTGAGGTTTCTCTGACACTCTTGTGAACCCTCCCAGGGACAGATGGATTTACTCTTGAATGGCTCCATTCTTTTCTCATCATGAATAGCACTGGCAATTGTTAATTTGCTCGCGCTGCTGTCATGCACCGCAGGGTTCTGCTTTGTCACCCCTCCTGCTGACCATGGCCTCAAGGCCGTTTGGCCTCATATTCTAAAAATGCAGGTACTTACTGTATGTGTCCAGAATGTCTTTTGGGAGGAGGGGGATTGCAGCTGAGCAGGTACAGTCCATTTCCCCTTGTTGTGCTTGCACTTAAATGGCACGGCATTATTCATGGGTTTCCAAATTTCAAGCTGGATTAGTGAAATTCGTTGTACCTAAGGTGACATCTGAAGAATATCTGGAAAGTTCCTGTAAGAGTACAAAGCGGTGTCTTGCTCACTTGGCCTCTTCAAAGCACGCTTTTTTGCAGACTGCTCTCAAATTTCTCAATCTAGGCACCAGTGGCTGATGCATTTCCAGGCACAAATAAAAGTGAAGTTTTGAGCCATCAGTCCCAATAATACAGTCCTTCCTCGTTCCCTTCTTTGTTACATCTCTGCAGAAGGGATCAGCTGGTATACTTCAATTTATAACGCATTCGTTTAAAGAAGGCCGTTCTTCTTTTACGGCTATCAAACCTAGTATACGTTCCTTCCTCCTGCCTGATGACCTTTGAGTTATGTAGCAGATATGCTTTCCCAGACTAGTTTCTAAGGGTTGATAGGCCTGAAGGATTTTAGGCAAAAGGGGTTATATTTTCAGTTTTAGAGTCTGTGAATAGGTTATTAGCAGACACTGGATTTTGTGGTAATTTGTGTAGAGGTTAGAACAGGTGCATAGCATACTCCTAGATAAATAAAACTTAAATTGTAATTTCCACTGCAGACAGATCAATCTGGGTAATTTAGATGACTGAACTTTTATAGTTGGTGTGCAAGTAAAATACCTTTTTTAGAACAGCGGCTGTAAATTGATAGTGTAATTTGTGTTGTGAAAATTGGTCACTGTATTCAATTATATATAAAAAGGCACAGTCTTTTGAACTGCACCCACAAGATGCCAAAATAAAACCCCCAACATTCAGATGTATGTGGAGGCGTTCCTTCCTGTGACTGGCATTAGACTTCAGGGATTGTTTTCCTTTCTTTTCCAGGAATTTGGCATATGCCACAATACCACATCTGGTAAAGGTTTAACTGAAAAATTACTTATTTCTAAATTCAAATAATTTTTTTTCCAGTTAAAATGTATATCCTAGGCTGCACGGTTTTCATCCATTCTGGCGCCGGTTAGGTAACAAATCATATTGCTTGCCTCTTGAGATGAATTTCAGAGTAATTCACTGTACGATGTACAACACTACATAGAAGCCACAATGCAAGTGATAAATAGTAGTAGGTTGTCAGGGGAAGGAGGGAAGTTCTTCAAAGAAAAATTATACTAAAAAAACATAAGATTAGTGACCTCACCATCCAAAGTGTGAACTCCATACTCCCGCTGGAAATTCGTTGGTAAGTAGACACTGTGAAGAAGACAGAAACAAGAGCGAAAAGCAAAGGAGTCTGTGGCCTTAGCTGAGAAATCTAGGTCACATCTGACACCCATTGAAATCCATGCCCGTGAATCCAGAGGTAATTAGGTTGGATTCTTGCTCACCAGAAAATGATTTAATTCAATGTATCATCCCCAGGGAAGGGAGAGAAGACATCTGAGGTGGAAACAGAGACAGCTGATAATCTTTTGACTTCAGATAATATCGAATACAAGAGACGATCCCCCTGTACCGCCCTAGAGTCTAACAGGTAATATCAGTTGCTTCAGCTTAGCAAGTAAACACCCGAAAGACTTTGCAGTTTCAATGGATATAATTTCAGTGCTGAACTGAACCAATATGAACTGCTATAAATCCATTGATCTCAGGGTTGAATTTGAACTAATATGATCTTATTTGAATTCTAAAGTATTAAGTGCAATCAGAACCTACCAGATGTTTTCTGAAAGGGAATATAGCATGACTTTTTTTCCCCATGATTGGCAATAATGTTTTTATTTTCCAGTGATAAAAATGCTCCAAAACTACATTTATGCAAAATGAAATATTTTCAGTTTGGGATTTTCCCCTTTTGTCTCCCTGCCCTGCTCTCCACTCTTTGAATAAGCAGAAGACTGAGAACACAATGTTTTTTTGTTAAATGTTTTGTTCAGCATTT